GTTTTGATTTGCATTTCTCTGATGACTAATGATTTTTTTTTTTTTTTTTTTTTTTGAGACAGAGTCTCACTTTGTTGCCCAGGCTAGAATGCCGTGGCATTAGCCTAGCTCACAGCAACCTCAAACTCCTGGGCTCAAGCGATCCTTCTGCCTCAGCCTCCCATGTAGCTGGGACTACAAACACGTACCACCATGCTTGGCTAATTTTTTTTTCTATATATATTAGTTGGCCAATTAATTTCTTTCTATTTATAGTAGAGACAGCATCTCGCTCTTGCTCAGGCTGGTTTTGAACTCCTGACCTTGAGCAATCCACCCACCTTGGCCTCCCAGAGTGCTAGGATTACAGGCATGAGCCACCACGCCAGGCCAACTAATGATGTTGACCATTGTTTCATACACCTGTTGGCCATTTGTATGTCTTCTTTTGAGAAATATCTATTCAGATCCTTAGCCCATTTTTAATTGGATTATTTGATTTTCTCCTATCAAGTTGTTGGAGCTCTTTATATATTCTAGTTATTAATCCCTTGTCAGATGGTAGCTTGCAGATATTTTCTCCCATTCTGTGGCTTGTCTCTTTACTTTGTTGATTGTTTCCTTTGCTGTACAGAAGCCTTTAAGCTTGATATGATCCCATTTGTCCAATTTTGCTTTGGTTGTCTGTGCTGTGAGGGTATTACTCAAGAAGTCCTTGCACAGACCAATGTCCTGAAGCATTTCCTCAATGTTTTCTTTTAGTAGTTTTGTAGTTTCAGATCTTAGACTTGAGTCTTTATTTTGATTTGACTTTTGTATATGTCAAGAGATAAGGGTCTAGTTTTCATTCTATATATGGCTATGGCTATCCAGTTTTCCCAGCACCATTTATTAAAGAGACTGTCCTTTCCCCACTATATTTTCTTGGCACTGTAAATTCACTATAGGTATGTGGATTTCTGGGTTTTTATTCTGTTCCATAGGCCTACATGTCCATTTTTATGCCAGTACCACGCTTTTTGGGTTCCACAGCTCTGCAGTATAATTTGAAGTCAGGTATGCGATGCCTCCAGTTTTGTCCTTTTTTCTCAGGATGACTTTGGCTATTCTGGGTCTTTTGTGGTTCCATATAAATCTTTAGAATCATTTTTTCTATTTCTGTGAAGAATGTCACTGGTATTTTGCCAGGGATTGCACTGAATCTGTAGATTGTTTTGAATAGTATGGACATTTGAACAATATTGAGTCTTTTCATTCATAAGCATGGAATATCTTTCCATTTTTTTGTGTGATGACTGTTTTTAGACAAAGCTTTGCAGAGCTACTAGTATCTATTTTCTATGAGTTTCCTCTTCAATACTGGAATTGCAGTATGCAAAATTTAAAAGCAGTTTCAAGGGGTATACTAAATATTGAACTCTGTGAGTTAAAAAATGCACTTTACCTCTCTTTAGTCTAATTTTATATTTAGTAAAATAAAGAATGAATGAAGAGCAAGATCCCTTCTTACTCTATGGGTCAGTCCAACAATGGCCTGCAGACAGACAACTGATATTCTTTCACCCTGCCAGGTGCTATCTTTATTTCCTTCCCCTATTCAGCACAGATTCCATGGTCTATCACTGTAGCCACTCTCTTACCATAAATTCTTAATTTTGTCCCATTACACATCTATAATACCCGCATGGCAAGACCACAACCGTGGATCAACACAACTGTCCACCCTGTCTGATCCTAGACTTACACTGCAAGAGGAGGCAGAAGTCACTGGTATGACCTAATTGAATGTCCTCAACCTCAACTAACCTTCATCACTATACAGCAATCCTTGTGTCCTCTTCTAAATAGCCACATAATTGTTCATTCAACTCCTTCAAGACTTCACCCAAATGTCACCTTCTTAATGCAGCTTTTCCTGACCAAAATTTTAACCTGAAACCCCCTCTTCTTTGTTTTTCACCATCTACTAAACTATACATTTTATTTATTATTTTGCTTATTGTCTCTTTTCTGTGACTAGAATGTAAGCTCCATAAGGACAGGTAGTTTTGCATGTCTTGTTTACTGCTGCATCCCAATGCTTCCAACAGTGCCTGCCACACAGATTTATTCAAATATTGAGTGAGGAATAAGTGAATGAGTTTCCTCCTTCCAGGGACAAAGTTCTATCCCCCTGGGCCATTTTAAATCATTCTGCATGGGCATCTTCCATCAGTATTTGAATGCACCAAAGTCTTCACTGTTTTATTAACAAAAAGCTTTCTCTTAACTCCCAACTCCCCCTGTTGCTACCATTCTCTTCCCTTCTCCCTTAGATTGCCAGTTTTCCGTGAAAATTGTCTATATTTCCTATCTTTCCTTCTCCTGGGTCTTCTCAATCGACTGTTCTCTGCCTTCTGCCTCACCATTGCACTGAACTGCTCTCCTCAAGGTTAAAGATCATCACTTTGGGGACAAAACCAGTCCTGATCTAACTTGGCCTCTCTGCAAGCACATAAGAGGGAACTACTGCTAATTGCTGACAATTCCTTTCTTCTTCACATACTCCTTTTTCTTAGCTTTCCAAGCCTTCATTCTATTTCTCTATTTCTTCTCTGTGCCCTTTTCAGGTCCTCTTCCTCTGCTTGTCCCTATGATATTATAGTTCTTTAGAGTTCTGTATAGGCCTCCCTTCACTTTTTACTCACATGTACTTCCTGAGTGATCTCATTAATTCCCTTCTTTTCAATTTCCATCTATAAATGATAGTTCCTGTAAGAGATACAGCTCTCTCTCCAGAATGCTAGACTATGCAACTATTTAAAGAACATTTGTACTTAGATACCTCACACTCCACAACTCCAAAACTGAACTCATCACTTTGCTACTTCCCACTACTCCCCTGACTATCTGTTTTCCTCCCATATTCCCAATTTTAATTAAATGGTACTACCACTATACTACCAGTTTACCCTAGCCAGAAACCTGGAAGTCATCTTTGACTTCCCTCTTTTTCTCTTCCTCATTCTCCTACATCTAAATTAGGGTTTCTGAACCTCAACACTATTGACATTTTGGGGCCAGATAATTCTTTTTGTTTTGGGGGGGAAAGTGGGGGCTGTCCTGCACAGTACAATCTTAACAGCAAACCTGGCCTCTGCCCACTAGGTGCCAGTAGCACCTCCCCCTTCCCCAAAGTTCTTACAACCAAGAGTATCTCAAGACATTGCCAAATATTCCCTGGGAGGGTACAATTGCCCCCATTTGAGAACCACTGATCTGTATCTACCCATAGTCCTGTTTCACCTTCTAAATACTTCATCTCTTAAATTGATCCATTTTTCTTCATCCCACTACCACATTCTTATTTCAGGCCATCATCAGGCTAGATCACTCAAATAGTCTCCTAACAGACTGGTCCTCTCTAAATCATTCTCCACAGTGCTGCCAAAATGACCTTTCAAAGATCAAACCCCTTCATATGATTCTTCAACCCCTTCCTCCCAACTGAACAATAAACATTTTAGAGTTTCTCTTCGCTTTGCAGATAAAGACAAAAGTCCTTAACATGAATTGCAACACACTTTACAATTTGTCCCCTTATTTACCTGTCCAGCCTCATCTTTCACCACTCATCTCCTCAAACTCTATGCTCCAGTTAGACAATTTCTCCTATAGTACAAACTGAACCTCTCTAACCTGGGACATTCTTCTTTTCCTCTCCTCACCTGGTCATCTCCTCCTTATTTCTTCATGTCTCATTTCCTCTGGAAAGCCTTCCCTAACCCCTCAAATCTGGATTAGATGCCCCTCCCAGGGGCTTCCAAAATAGTGTAAAACCACCTAACCACAGCACAGGGCATTGTGATTGGCTGCTTCCTCTGTATTCATTCTACTCTTTAGATTATAAAATCTGGACATGGAGTGACTATCCTTTATATTGCTCACTACTGAATCTCTAAAACAAGGTGTTTAGAAACAATTCTATTTATTGTTAACCAATGAATGATTACTACAACAGACAATATTTAGAGCTGATTCTCTCAAAAGCTTATATCTTTATGGAAAGTGGGCCAATGTGGGAGGATCGCCTGAGCCCAGAAGTTCGAGACTAGCCTGAGCAAGAGTGAAATCTCATCTCTGCAAAAAAAATAGAAAAATTAGGGAGGGGGGAGGGGGACGGGTATATACATACATAATGAGTGAGATGTGCACCATCTCTGGGAGGGTCATGCTGGAAACTCAGACTTGTGGGGGGAGGGGGGAAAGGGCATTTATTGAAACCTTAAAATGTACCCCCATAATATGCCATAATAAAAAAAAAACAAACCCAAAAATAGAAAAATTAGCCAGGCATATTGTTGCGTGTCTGTAGTTCCGGTTACTTGGGAGGCTGAGGCAGGATCTCCTGAGCTCAGGAGTTTGAGGCTGCAGTGAGCCATGATGGTGCCATATATATACACGGGCGAAGTCTTAGTGCTCTGAAAGTTTCCACTCATCCCAACTGACAGTGGAAATCAGAGGCCATTAAGTCAAAGATCGACTTCAGATCTACTCCCCTCAGCCTAATTTCAGCCAATCTAACAAACAGCTTTTCACAATTACCATTACCTATTTTCTACTAATGTTCTCTTCAGTATCAGTATTAGAATATGCAGAATTTACAGTCAGTATCTAGAAGCGGAGAAAGGTGACGAATCCCTGTAATAAAAGCAGAAGCCACAGACTGCTATTTTATGCGAAGGCCCTTAGTACCTGCCCAGACAGGCCGAGATATTTAGCTCTGTCACTATCTTTTCTCCCCTCCGAACAGCAGGGACACTGCGGGAAACACTCCTCGTCCCCTGAGAAAAGTAAGTCTGTCATTAACAGTAAGATCCCTGCAGAGCGGTGCCAGGCGGGTTTCCCGGCTCCCCCACGTCCGCACAGGGCAGCCCTGCCTCGGCCAGCTCTGGGCGGCGACCCGGATCCTCCCCACCGCGGTCCGCACCGGCGAGGCCTCGCTCCCCACACACCCACACCGGCCGCGCGTCGCTGCCCACCTCACAAGGCAGGAGTTCGGCGCTGGTTCCCTGCCCGCTCGAGATCAGGCAGAACACGCATTCGCTGTCGTAGTCCTCCGGTGTGTCTTCGGCGTCTTCGGTGTCTTCGGCGTCTTCGGCGTCTTCAGCGTCTTCGGCGTCTTCAACCGAGGGCACCGGAGGTTCTGCAGTCGCCCCCGCCTCATAATCTGGGGCCAGCTCAGAGCCCAAGTTCACCGGCTCCTGCGCCATCGCTCCCGCCCCGCGCGGCCTAGAGCCTCGGTTTCTCCAGCACTACTGGGCCGGCGAAGGGCCTCCACCTTCCGCACCTCCGCCGTTTTACCTCGAGGCGTCGCCCCTCGCCTGGGCGCTGGGCCGTGCCGCAGGCTGATGGGCGCACGCGCGGAGCCAGGCGGACCGCAGTGGTAAACGGTGGTGGGCAGCGAAGCCTCGGTTGCCACGAGGGGGCGCCCGACGGCGTCTCAGGAGTCACCTCGCCCCGCGCGCCTCGTTGGTAATGACGTAGGACGTCCGCCAAAACGCAAAGCGCGCCGCGCGTCCGGGTGACGTCACTGGGGCGCGGTAACGTCTGGCTTAATGGTGCCCATCGGGTATTATGTACAGACTTTCTCCAAAGCCTGTTACATAGCATGTTCCAATATTGTATCACGCTTGTAATTTAAATATTTCAAAAATCCTTTTAAAGTTTGGTTTTAGGAATTCGTAGCAAAACCTCTAGAGCCTTGTTTTCAGCATAGATCATGTTTGGCGCTTTATGTATGCATTTTCAGCTATGACAAGTTTAGGAGTTTAAGCTAAAAATGTCCCAAACTGAACTTAACATCTCTATTGACTTTTTGTTGTTGTTTAACAGCACCAGATACATCAAAATAGTGACCTTTCTTATCTCACATTCCTTATGTGTAAGTAAACGTCGAGTCCTGTAATTGATAGTCTGAAATATTCCAGAAATTCAATGCCAGGGCATCATTATGCCTCACCTGGACCACTGCAATAACATTTTAATTTATTCCTCTCTCTTTTTGTATTTGTCTGTAAATAAAGTTTTATTGGGTCACATTTTTTTTCTTTTTTATTTCAGCATGTTATGGGGGTACAAATGTTTAGGTTACATATACTGCCCTTGCCCCAGCCAAGTCAAGCGTGTCCATCCCTCAGAGGGTGCACATCACACTCATTATGTGTATATATACCCATCCTCTCTTCCCTCCTCCCATCTGACCAACACCAGAGAAATCGTATTACTATATGTGCACTTATAGTAATTGATTAGTTAAAACCAATTTGATGGTAAGTACATGTGCTTATTTTTCCATTCTTAGGATAGTTCACTTAGTAGAATGGGCTCCAGCTCTATCTGGGATAATACAAGAGGTGCTAGATCACCATTGATTTTTGTGGCTGAGTAGAACTCCATGATATACATATACCACATTTTATTAATCCACTCATGTATTGATGGGCACTTGGGTTGTTTCCACATCTTTGCAATTGTGAATTGTGCTGCTATAAATATTCGAGTGCAGATGTCTCTTTAAAAGAATGTCTTTTGGCTGGGCACAGTGGCTCACGCCTGTAATACTAACACTCTGGGAGGCCAAGCCTGGTGGATCACTCAAGGTCAAGAGTTCTAAACCAGTATGAGCAAGAGCAAGACCCCATCTCTACTAAAAATAGAAAGAAATTAATTGGCCAACTAAAAATATAGAAAAAATTAGCCAGGCAAGGTGGCACATGCCTGTAGTCCCAGCTACTTGGGAGGCTGAGGCAGAAGGATCAAAGGATCACTTGAGCTCAGGAGTTTAAGGTTGCTCTGAGCTAGGCTGACACCATGGCACTCTAGCCTGAGCAACACAGTGAGACTCTGTCTCAAAAAGAAAAAAAAAAAAAGGAATGTCTTTTGTTCTTTTGGGTAGATGCCCAGTAATGGGATTCATGGATCAAATGGTAGTTTTACTTGTATCTCTTTAAGGTATCTCCATATTGCTTTCCACAGAGGTTGTACTAGTTTGCAGTCCCACCAGCAGTGTAGGAGTGTTCCTATGTCTCTGCAACCATGCCAACATTTATTGTTTTGGGACTTTTTGATAAAGGCCATTCTCACTGGAGATAAGTGATATCTCATTGTGGTTTTGATTTGCATTCCCGATGATTAGAGATGTTGAGCATTTTCTCATATGTTTGTTAGCCATTAGCCTATCTTCTTTTGAAAAGTTTCTGTTCATGTCCTTTGCCCACTTTTTGATAGGGTTTTTTTTGCAGATTTTCCTGAGTTCTGTATAGATTCTAGTTATCAGCCCTTTATCGGATATGTAACATGCAAATATTTTCTCCCATTCTGTAGGTTGTCCATTTGTTCTCATGATAGTTTCCTTGGCTGTGCAGAAGCTTTTTAATTTCATCAGGTCCCATTTATTTATTTTTGCTGTTGCTGTAATTGCGTTTGGGGTCTTCTTCATAAATTCTTTGCCTAGGCCAATGTCTATAAGAGTTTTTCCAACATTTTCTTCTAGAATTCTTATAGTTTCACACCTTAGGTTTAAGTCTGTTATTAACTTATTTCTTGATTTTTCTTGTCACGAAGACAAAACTGTTCAGCAACTATCATGCCCCCCAAAAATACCAGTTCCTTAGGTTGGTATTCATGGTGGACTCTGATTTGACTTCAGTATTTCAATTTATAATACTTGGCACTTGCCAAGCATATAAAATATGCCATCTCATTGTCAAAACAAGCAAAGTTGGCTTTATCATCCCCACTCTGGAAATGAAGAACTCAAAAAGACTTGCCCAGTACCACACAACTGATTTGTGACAGGGTTTTGATAAAGGTTTATTTAACTCGAGAACTCACGAAAAACTCCTTTTTTAGCATTAAAAATTTTCTTGGACTAGCTTATTATAGTGGTTGTACCCTTAGTATTTGTTGACTTAGAAAATACATAATAACAAAGTCCTATTGTGAATTTAGTAATATTTTTAAATGAATTTATGTTGTAGTAAGAAAAAGTAGTTATACGTTTTTTGAATAGTTGTACATAAACATTCAAGAAATTTTTCATTCCATTTGTAGTTGGCCAGTAGTTTGGGTAACCACTATGATAGCTTTACATCCCCTCAGCAGCCTAAGGCAGAGTTCAAAATCAATACATTAGATTTTGTCAAATTTAAGTATTCACTATTTCCATGTCTGTACCACACCTTCATATCACATTGTTCCTTCCAAAATATTCTTGTTTCCATCTCATCACATCTAAATCCACCTTCCAAGCCACTCCTCAAATGCTACTTCCTTCAGGAAATTTTCTCTAATTAACCAAACAGGAATAGGCATTTCCTCTTGTGGATTCATATAGCAGTTTTTCATTACTTCTCTTATAGAACATATTACTTTGAATCTTTAGCTATTTTCATATTTTTCCTGCTAGAAATTGTTTCTTGACAATAAGAACGAGTGTCTTTGAATGTCCCATAATGCCAAGTACATGGCTTTACATGCAGGTAGACATTTAACAATTGTCCAATGAACAAAAGAATGATTAGGAGTTAGGCCACTGCATGAGAGTGTTCAGGTTTCACAGTGTACAAGGATTCCAGAAATTAGAGTGTGGTAATTCACACCATAGACATATATTAACTTATAGAAACCAGACAGGCCTGGACATTCCAGGACTCGTGGCCGAGTGCTGGAGCAATGGAGAGCTGACTCCTATAAGAACTTAAGCTTACTCCTTTTTTTTTTTTTTTTTTTTGAGACAGAGTCTCGCTTTGTTGTCCAGGCTAGAGTGAGTGCCGTGGCGTCAGCCTAGCTCACAGCAACCTCAAACTCCTGGGCTTGAGTGATCCTTCTGCCTCAGCCTCCCGAGTAGCTGGGACTACAGGCATGCGCCACCATGCCCGGCTAATTTTTTTATATATATATATATCAGTTGGCCAATTAATTTCTTTCTATTTATAGTAGAGACGGGGTCTCGCTCTTGCTCAGGCTGGTTTTGAACTCCTGACCTTGAGCAATCTGCCCGCCTTGGCCTCCCAAGAGCTAGGATTACAGGCGTGAGCCACAGCGCCCGGCCGACGCTTACTCCTTTGACAGAGCTGACATGGCGGAGCTGACAGTGGAGGTTTATGGTTCCTACAGGGCTTTCTTTCTACAAGGGATTTATCAAAGATGTTCATGATGACTCCCTCACGGTTGTTTTTGAAAACAATTGGCAACCAGAACGCCAGGTTCCATTTAATGAAGTTAGATGCCCACCACCACCTGATAGAAAAAAAGAAATCAGTGAAGGAGGTGAAATTGAGTTATATTCAAGAGCAAATGACCAAGACCTGTGTGTATGGTGGGTGGCTACAGTTCAGATGACGAAAGGAGAATTTTATGTCACTGAATATGCTGCTTGTGATGCTTACAATGAAATAGTCACATTTGAATGACTTTGGCCTGTCAATAAAAATAAAACTGTCAAATAAATACCTTCTTTAAACACACAGTGGATGATCCCAAGGATTTGAGAGGCATAGCTAGTGGAAATGCTCATAAAGATTTTAAGAAATAGTAGGAGCATGCAGAATTTTTTACCATCCAGAAACTACACAGCTATTAATTATATTGTGAAGTAACTATGAAGAGAGTAAATATTTTGTGACATGCATTTGTGAAGTATTCATATAAAGTTGATGTTTATGTCCAGAAATGAAGAGGCCACTAATCATTTATAATACACAAAACAACTTGCAGAAGCTTTTTATGAGGAGTTTGTTGTGAGAGAAGATTTAATGGATCTGGCAATAGGAACACACGGTAGTAATATACAGCAAGCTAGGAAGGATCCTGGAGTTCTCCCTATTGAGCTAGATGAAGATACTGGAACATTTAAAATTTATAGAGAGAGTGCTGATGCTGTAAAAAAATAAAAAGGCTAGAGGTTTCTTGGAATTTGTGGAGGACTTTATTTGGGTTCCTAGGAATCTTGTTGGAAAAGTAATTGGGAAAAATGGCAAAGTTATTCAAGAAATTGTGGCTAAATCTGGTGTGGTTCTGGTGAGAACTGAAGGAGACAATGAAAATAAACTACCTAGAGAAGACAGGGTAGTTCCATTTGTATTTGTTGGCGCTAAAGAAAACATTAAAAATGTGCAAGTTCATTCAGAATATTATATTGCTATCTAAAGGAAGTAGAACAACTAAGAATGGAACATCTACAGATCAGTATGCATTTCAAATCTTCTTCCACCAGAGGGCCTGAAAAAGAGACAGGATATGGCCACTGATGAAAGTACATCTCCTCTGTACAAGCTTCTAGGTCTTACAGTGGAAGAGGCAGAGTTTGCTGGGGCCCTAATTACACCTCCAGTTATGGTACAAATTCTGAGCTAACCCCTTTGAAACAGATTCTGAGGGTAAAGATGAAGTGAGTGATTGATCATTGGCAGGAGAAGACGATCAAGACAGCCAACATCATGACAGCAGGAGACACCTAGGAGG